TGCAATTTCCTCTGATAGAGGTGGTAATAATAATAATACTAATAATAATAATAATTTTATTTCTATCAGACTTGAAGGCAGAGAGGAACGGTAAGCTTTCTATTTCCTGCGAGGGCATCGAACGTTGCCACCGTCTTGGCTCACGCATAGATGGTAAGATCAGACCCGTAATTTTTAAAGTGATAGACCATAGAGAAAAAATATTAATCCTTAAAAACGCCCCAAGACTTAAGGACACTCGTGTGTTCATCAACGAAGATTTTTGCCTTCGCGTGCGAAATGTTCGCAGTCAGCTATGGCGTGGTACGGCTGATTTTAGACAGAACGGTGCGAAGGTAGTTTTGCGCTACGATTATGCACTTGTCAATAATACTCGCTATACGTGGGATGTGTCTAACAACTGCCTTGTAAGGGTCAATCCCCCTCGCCTTCCGGATAATTCTAATTGACTTCCTCATGAAAACTCGTTTATTTTATTGAATCTTAATGCTAGGAGCATTCTCCCAAAGTCCACTGAATTTGCTGGTATTGCAACTGCATATTACCCTCATGTGATTTGTGTCACTGAAACGTGGTTGCATGACTCAGTTCTTGACTGCGAATTTACTCCACCTAACTACATTGTTGTGCGTTGCGATAGGTCATGTGGTAGGGATGGTGGTGTTGCTTTAGTTTTTACGTCTGGTGTTAGTTTTTCTGTTCTTCCTGGCTTACCTAACACTGAGTCACTCTGGTGTAAAGCTTATATCGATAAATTTGTTCTTGTTATTGGGGCAGTTTATAGAGCTCCGGGTGCTTCCGCTCAGGTTATTTTTGATATTCACGATTACATTTTAAAGCATAACTTCGGTGGTGGTAAATTTGTTCTGACTGGAGATTTTAACACACCTGACGTAAATTGAAAAACGTTATAGTTGGTAGTCGTGATAAAATTATATGTGATGCACTTGTTGATACTGCAGTGTCATTCGATTTAGATCAAGTTGTTAGTGAATGTACTAGAGATAACTCAACTCTTGACCTAGTTTTTCTTAGTAACAGCATTGCCAAATCTGGTTATGAGTGCAAAGTGGTTGATGGTATTTCAGACCACAGAGCTGTTGTTGTGAGACTTAATATTCGTGCCTTACACGTAAAACCCGAGATTGTTACTGTTTTAGACTTTAACAGAGCTAATGACGAGTCAATTCTTGACGAACTTAGTTTTGGCTTTGATGATTTCGAGACCTTTAGCCGTGACTGTAATGTTGATGTGTTGCTTAGCAAATTTTGCTCATTAGTAAATGATTGTATTAAACGATTTGTACCAGTCAAATATAAAAAGACAAATCAAGGCCAGCTATGGATTACTAGAGAGGTATTGCAATTAACCCGCAGACTAAAAAGAAACCGGAAATTAAAACTTAGTGATAGTCCTTCGGACGTCAAATGGTTTGAAAGCCTAAAAAATAGATTAGTGGAAACAATGACAGCTGCTAAATATACTTATTTCGGCGTTACATTGACTAACTTTATGAAGTCAAATCCTGCTAAGTTTTGGAGGTCGATCCTTCCTAAAAATGACATTTCCCGCAGTTTTATTATTGAAGATGAATGTGTCACTGACCCCGTAGACATTTCGTATGGCTTTAATGCACATTTTCAGTCTGTATTCACTGAAGATAACGGTTGTGAACCTTCCTTTTCTTTCAATCTCCCGTGTTCGTCGTTAGAAAACATTCCCATCAGTACTTCTGGCGTTCTCCATTTGCCCCTAAACATTGACTGCAAAAAAAGCGCAGGTCCCGATGGTGTTCCTCATTCATTTCTTCGCCGTTACTCTCTTTGGACATTGAGATACTTGGCCTTAATCTTCGAGAAGTCTCTTTCTTCTGGAAGAGTTCCTAAACTTCGGAAATCAGCCAGAGTTGTTCCAATCTTTAAATCTGGAAACAAACAGAGCCTTTTCAATTACAGACCTATTTCATTGACCTCTACCTGTAGTAAGCTCCTCGAGCATATAGTCTACTCCCATGTTTCCGAATACCTCGAATGCAATTCAATTATCTGCCCTCAGCAACACGGTTTCCGTCGTCATTTTTCAACCATCACGCAACTACTGGAATTCACTCATGATATCGCCACGACTTTAAATAATAAAGGACAGGTTGACGCCATATTCATAGATTATTCGAAGGCATTCGATAAAGTTTCTCATTCCAAACTACTGTTGAAGTTAAAGGTCATATTTAAAAATCCCCTTTTACTCGACTGGATCACTGATTATTTAAAAGACCGGTCACAGTTTGTTTCGTATGGGAATGCTAATTCATCAGGAGCTACGGTTAGTTCAGGTGTTCCGCAAGGATCTGTATTAGGGCCCCTTTTATTTCTCCTGTATATTAATGATATTGTAGATAACATTCCCGTTAAAGTTCGTCTTTATGCCGATGACTGCGTCCTATATAGCGATATTCATTCGGCTAATGACCAATTGTTACGTAATGAATCCTTCGCACGCTTCTTCAATTGGACCAAGCAATAGCAAATGGAAATAAACTTTGAAAAATCTGTGTTTATGAAATTTACGAATAAGAAATCACCTTTCGTTTTTAGCTATGGCATTGATGAAATAGTACTAAGGGAGGTAAGCGACTTCAAATATTTGGGTATTATTTTTACTTCCAACCTTAAATGGGATAGGCACGTCGACTATATTTGCTCCCGCGCCCTCAGAAAATTGGGCTATGTTAAACGCACGTTAAAAAATTCGTCTAAGGAGGTAAAATTAACCGCTTTTAAAACTCTCGTGAGGCCGATTTTGGAGTACGGTTCAGTGGTTTGGGACGTTCATCTGAAAAAGGACATTAATCTCATTGACTCTGTTCAGGCTAAGGCTATCCGATTTATTTCCAATCGATATGGTCGACACTTTTCACCTTCATCCGCTTTGTCAACATTAGGGTTAGAATCTTTATCGTTAAGGCCAACTATCGAGCGATTGAAGTTGTTATATAGAATTGTTAATAATGAAACTGGCATTGAATGTATGAAGTACATTTCCTTCTCAGATATTTCGCGCACTAGGCGTTACCATCCCTTGAGTATTGTACCCTTTCGTTCTCACGTAAACTGTTTGAAAAATTCCTTTTTTCCGCGCACTGTTGAGCTGTGGAATAGTATTGACGGTTCTACGCGTATGCTCCAGTACGACGACTTTGTTATAAAACTCGCGAAAGTTGACTTCCTTTGATGTTTGCTGTTTCTGGCGAATCATTATGTTGTTGAATATGTTCTCGCTTATTGTTCTCTCTACCCATGTTTTAGTTGTGTAATCCACTCCCGCAGTGGCCTCAACTGAGGTGGCAGTATACATAAATAAATAAAATAAATAAATAAAAGCTGAATGCGGGGCTTGACGTGCTCTTGACCGCCTACAGTCCGCAGCGACGGGACAAAGCCGGAATAAAAGTGAAAGAGAACAATATATTCAAATACGAAGACAGTAGTGGTAACTAGTTATCGTAATCGCCTATACAATGCAATGATCAGATGTCAGTAAAGACGTTTATAATGCCTACAATTACTTGCTCGCTACTAATATTATAATTCTCGGAGTTTCGGTTTGAAATCGAGCCAATCTCTCAAGTTGAATTTCCAGAGAGTGCAGCAAATTATGTCAAAATTAGCGTGAAGTGCCGTTTTGGGAGTTGTACAGGTAGTCCAAATATGGCGTGCCTGCGCTTTGCCGCCTTGGAGTCCAGACCGCTGCTAACTTGCCCCCTGCGGAGAAAAAATGGCACCCACGAGGGTTTTACATGGGCAGCCCAAGTTGGGCATACCCGCGCATTGTCATTAAGGTGCCCACACCATTTCTAACTTGGCCCACGCAGAGCCGAGGCGGGATCCAAGGGTGTTTTACATGTGTACCCGAACTCGGGCACACCCACGCTTCGCCGTCGCTGAGTTCTCACATCGCCTTTGGCCCCAGTAGAGTTGAGGTGGGTACAAAGAGGGTTTTACATAGGCTGCCCGAGCCGGCTTGCTCAGGCTCACAGCCTTTGAGTCCAGACCATCGCAATTTGGCCCCCGTGCGGCCGAGGTGGGACCCACGGCGGTCTTACATCGGTAGCTCATGTTTGCTGATTTTCGGCATTGGCAACACACTCCTTCACACCACAATGCAGGTAGAAATGAAGAAAGAAAAAGACGAAAGCGCCTACAGAGGCCAGAACGCTAAGCTCTCGCTAGAATGCGTTCCAACCTTAGCTCGGAACTCTTCGGCCGCCGCGCGTTGTCGTGTCCTCTTCTCCCTGAGCTTCTATCCGCACAGAAGTTGCATAATATACTTTAGGCGATTCAGACATACGCAACACAACTATAAATTTACTGAATATAAGTAAATCGTGTGAAACAGGGATGATTAACGTATAATAGGAACTCAACAACTGGAAACAACATGAAGGTGCAAGGTTTGCGTGCCGCACATCGTAGCTGTGTTATTAAAATAACCAGACATCTAAGTCAATAATTGCGTCGTTCGTAACTTTTACGCAAAAGGAAAAACGACCAATTTCGATACTACATAAGGTGAAGGTCAACTTCTCTGACAAATAAAACTCGAGCGAAATTAAAATGAAAATATAGGAAAACATAATTCACTATTCCACATTACCGTTTAACCATTTTTTTCACATTGCAATTTAAAGATGCCTAGAGGTGATTGTACTAAAAGAGGAAAAGAACACCTCATCATGGTATGGCTCTGCTCCGCAATACAGTTTGAAAGCCTCCATCAAGATGTAAAGCGGTATAGCTTTTATTCCTTATTTTATTTGAACCGCAGAAGAATGAAAGCTGCGTTCGTGACAAGAATATACCGGTGCATTTGGGTGACTCCACGTTCTTTCACACGGAGAAAAAAAAATGTGTAGCGCATTCCTTCAAGGGTCGCAACTCTATTGGATATAACCTTTAATTTTCTTTCCTTCTCCATTTCGCGTTCCTTGCGAGTACTACAAATGACTCTTCCTCTCGGTTTGAGTATAAATAACAGCGAGCGGAGACACGTTACCACAGTTGCAGCTTCTTCGGCACAACCGACACATTCAATCATGGTACGTTTCAGCTATCCGTCTTTCCTGTCAATTATGATAGAGTGTTCTTTCGACAACTCGGTTTAAGATAACACTAGTTTGAATACCAATAAAAGAGGGCCAACATAAGCTGCGAATTCTCAAGTTAATTTGTAAACAAAGAAACTATTATAAATTAATAATTTCTGCTTCATTATATACGTACATTTGTCCCTAGTTAGAAAAAAGCTGATACAAAAAAAAACAGTGACCCTAAAAAGGAAGTGAAGCAAATATTGACGTTCTATAGGGTTCATACATATTGATTTGTTCGACTAATAATTAATGCTTCCCCCCTTTTGTATATGGCGCAGATCCGTGCTTGCCTTGTTTTGGCTCTGGCCACCAGCGCCTTCGCTGGATTTGTCAACGGGGGATACGGTCTTGGTTACGGCTATGGCCTCGGATACGCTCACGGCCTCGGCTACGGTCACGGCCTCACATACGGTCACGGTCTCGGCTACGCTGGTCTCGCTGGCTACGGCTACGCTCCCGCTAGCTATGCTGTCGCTGCTCCAGCTGTCGCTCGCACTGTCTCCTACGCTGCTCCAGCCGTCACTAAGGTTGCCACCGTTCACGCTGCTCCAGCCATCGCCACTTACGCCGCTGCCCCAGCTGTGACCAGGGTTGCCACCTACGCTGCCGCCCCAGTAGCCACGGTTGCTAGCACTGTCGCCACCTATGCCGCTCCAGCCGTCACCAAGGTTGCCACCGTTCACGCTGCCCCAGCCGTCGCCACCTACGCCGCTGCCCCACTCGCCACCTATGCTGCTGCTCCAGTTGCCACGTACGCCGCTGCTCCAGCCGTCAGCCGCACTTTCGCCACTTACGCCGCTGCTCCAGCCGTGACAAAGGTTGCCACTTACGCCGCTGCCCCCGTCGCTACCTATGCTGCCGCTCCAGTCGTCACCCGCACTGTCGCCACCTCTCACGTCGCTTCTCCAGTTGTCGCCGCCTACCACGCTGCTCCAGCTGTGACGACCGTTGCTCACGCTCCAGCTCTCGGCTACGGCTACGGAGTTGGACACCTCGGCTACGGTCTTGGCCACTACGGCTATGGGCACGGTCTTGCCAGCTACGGCCTCAACTACGGTTACGGCCTTGGCACCTTCGGTGACTACACCACCCTTCTTCGCAAGAAGAAGTGTAAGTATAAGTTCTATTTTAATCTAATTAACTATTGAGGCTCCTTTTTGCCGAATATATGAAATAGTTAGTTTTGAATCTATACAACACTCGCATTACCATGAAAATCAGTATATTTACATAATTAGTGACGTCTTCTTTCATATACATTTTACAGAAACTGCAACAACGACTGCACCTTCAAGTCGTCTAGGAGCCCGAGGGGCAGGGTCCCTTGGCTATTTGTTTAGAAAACAAATAAAATTAATTTATGTTACATCATACGTTTCTTTTATTTTTGCGCAATGAAATGGTTTCAAGCCAGTTGTCTTTTAACAAAAGGCTTCTGGGCACACCTTCATTGCGACTATACTTTGTGACGAATATTGTTTAAAACTTTTTTGGCGAAAAATAGGGTGGTAATTATGTTTTAATTATTTTACTTTTAGGTGAATATGTGATGTAACTAAAAATGTATGGCGTATAGCGAAACATAAATTGCTTTTTTGATACAACATTCATCTGCATCAAACAGATAAATTATTTTATAATAATAATAATAATCTTTATTTTGTTTGGGTCTCCAAAAAAAGCCCTAAGTCCAAATAGTAGTATACGCCGCTCGTCACCAAGAATAAATGCAGGCAACAAAACAAAGCCACAACTATGTACAAATATTTGAGTCAAGCCTATGTCGGAAAACAATCAAATCGCAAAATTTTCTACAACAGATCGATCCGAACAGTTTGAGTTGAGTTAGTTCGTAATCTCTATGAGGAGATTACACACAGAGAGGACAGGGCATACACAAAGCTGACTATCAACTTTTTAATACTTCCTCTAATGCCTTTGGACATTTGCAGAAGATCTCCAAATGTCCAAGCAAGCCCCATAAATTTCCGCTTCGAGTCACTGACATCAGTATACCGTGCATATTGTTTTGAGAACTTCTTGCCATAACTGTCTTCACGAGTCACGGACCCAAAGCCTCAACCCACCGTGGATATTGTTTTTCTTTGCTGTGCAGCGTGATGGACGAAGTGCAAACACATTCCTCTCCGCTCTCCTCGATGGCTAGCGCCTCGATCATCTCTTGCCCGTGTGGATTTTTGTTTTCAGCAGTCGGTTAGTCTTTAATTAGTTTTTAAATAGTTTTTAGCAAGTTCGTTCGTTTTTTGTAAAAAATGATTTCTGAAAATTCCGAAAAGTGCATCATATCTCGCAATCATGAAATGCTCGAAGGGACAAAGAAGAAGAGGGGGTGGAGGAAGAAGAAGTATTGAATAGTTGATAGTCAGCTTTTTCTGTGTCCTGTCCTCTCCGTGTGTAAGTATTTAGTGTTCAAGCTGTTTCCTAATAGATTCATCAAGCTTGTTTGTGCCTTCTTTGTTTCCACCGTCTTGGGTTTTATGAACATCTAACATTAACCAGCGCGCCTTACTTATTGTATTATCTTCAGATTGATCCAGCTTGTTGAATTCAAATTGCATTCTTGTTAGTGGTGACCTGTCATTCAAAGCAGAAGGGTAAAACGCACTCTGAAATCGATTGGACCGCAAGGGAGCATGAAAACAGACAGTGTTTAACAAAATTGGTGATTCAACAGTACCCCTTACAATCTTATGTAAAACATAAAATCACGTAATCGTTTACTCTCGAGGAAAATATGCTCCCCAAGATTTTTTTTTTTTTTTGTAAGTGATAAGTTATAGATGTAGTAGCCAATTCGGTCAAGATACCTGTCGTAGAGTATGCCTAGGGTACCTATGAAGTGTTTTTGGACACCTTCCATAGAGCATGGATCCAATGAGATTAATACCATTCTATACAGAAGAAGCATACTCCAGCTTCGTGCGCGTAAGGCAACAAAACAAACGCACAAGACAAGCAGGCGAACCCAATTTTCTCGGAGAAAGATGAGAAACACGAAGAAGTACATAGAAGAGGGGACGGACGGATAGCGGCACAAACTGTACGGCTTTGAGATTACTTTGCGGCGCATTTTGGCTCACTCGGTGGGCCTCCCCACGTGTTTTCGAGGTTTGTGTTTACGTCGGCAACTGTAAAGGGGCGGGGGGGGGGGGGGGGGGGAGAGACGGGAAGGGGGTATATCTGAGTGCTGTGCTTGTGTATGATTCGACGACGGGGGGCGTGGAAGCGTTGCGAGAAATTGGGGGATTATCAGTGGTGGCAGTGGAGGGTGATACGTCAACTGCGTGGGTGTTCTCATGGACTCTGTGGCGCCTAGCGCACGTGGATGGCTGTGTGTGCGAGGAGGGCTGCTGACGTGGACGGGACGGGAGGAAGCGGCTTGACTTTCGCGACTGTGGATATCGGTTGGGGCACCGGGGGAGCTCGCTTTTTTAAACGAGTGTCTGGCAAATAAACCATCAGCTGTGTTTGAGACGTTGTGTTGTGTTCGTCCCCTTCTGTGTTCCTGAGTCTCGGGTTTTATTATCATGAATCATCACCAGCTCCCTTGTTCTTTACGTATTATTGCAAGTGAATCATTATTTCTAATGAGCTACATTGTTTTTGTTGTTTCTTCACCCATCAAAACATAACTATTTAAACACCACTGAAAATTTACAATGAGTGCTCTTGAAGAGGGGCGCAATCAGAGTGATATTGTACACGTCGAAAGAGTTTGATGTCAACCGCAAGAACGAGCACTTTAAAGTGGTTCACTTCAAGCGAAATCTTATTTACGAATAACAAAAATAAAAGTTGACCCATTACTTTCTTGGGGTATTACGGAAGGCAATGAAAATAATCGGATATCGATCCTGACAGGCGAATGTAATTTGTATGGCAGGAACGAAACCTTTTGAGCCAATGGCAGTAAGTCAAGCACATAGCACAGCTATCTAAATTAGTCCGACATATATTGTGATTAACCTTGTCAAATACCTTCGTCACGTCAAAGTATAAAACGTTGACGTACTCACAGATTGGTGTCAACCGTCGACTTTCTCTTCAGGAATCCACGTTGCTATGGGTTCATTTTTCTGAAGTAACTGTGCAGACATTTATGCAATGTTATTTCAAAAACTTTGGAAAAGCTGCACAATAATGAAACGGGACGATAGTGTTCACAATGCTAGGTGTTCATGTTTTTTCAATGGGAACAACATAGCATTGCCATATCGAAGGAAATATTCCTGAATTTTAACGAGAAATTGAATATATGTAATAAGACTGGAGTCAGGAGTTCAGCACAGCGTTTCACACTACAACTGGAAGCTCAATTTCCACCACCAGACAGCTTTATATTTATTTAACGAATGCTTTACCTCACTTCATTTTCGTCAATTGAGATAAAAGAAAAAAATCAACTGTGCCATGACACGGCGTGCTAAAGTCAGGAACTAATGCTGATGGAAAAGACGACTTGAAATGCTCAGCAAATATGTTGGCAATTTCACTTGAATCACATGTATAACCATAACTATTTTGCATCAGAAGCACGCTACTATTCCTCTTCTTTTTTGTCATTACATATTTCCAAAAGTGTTTAGGCTTGGCATACATACCGGTCTTTGTAAAAACCCGTTTTGCCAAAGCACGAAACTCACTAGATTTTAGGGCTGGGTTATTGATCGAGTAATCTACCGATTAATAGATGAATGCTTTAATCGCGAATAATATTTCTAACTGGTTAATCGGTAAAATTGTAACGTATCAAAATCAAGAAAAATTAAATGCTTTCACCATGCAAGAATGGACGAGTATACCTATATGAAAGACACACTTCAGATGCATTTATAGCTTAAAGTGAACTGTGAGAGCGATATATTAGCTCCACACAAGTGCAGAAGGTTACACGTGTCCCCGCCACTTAAACGCCTCGTAAGTATCCGTTTAGGGCAGCAGAGATTATTGTGAACACTCAAAGGAGTCCGCTCTTGCCGGAGAATATCATCGAAGCTCTGCCTCGATCGTGCAGCTGAAGTAATAATATGCAGACTTGTACCGTACGCATTACAAGTAATCAAATTACTTGTACTCGATTACTTTTTGCAGTAATTTTGTAATCAGGTGATTACTTTTATAAGGCAGTAATCCCAAGAGTAATCTGGTTATTTTTTGAAGTAATAAAATTACTTGTAACCGTTACAATTTGTCCACGCCCCCCCCCCCCCCCCCCCGCACACGCCTTTTTTTTATGAAATGACACAAATAAAATTTGCTTTTTTTTTTTTTTTTTCGAACGGAAAAAAGAAAGATTTTTGCGGAGCTGTAGGAAACGAGGTCAATCCCTTTCTATGTACAGTTTCTGTGGTATGTCCGTTTTTTGTTTTTTCGTCGAGCTGGGACTGGGAGTGGGAAGCCCCAGGGAAGCAACAGTGCGTGACAAAGGCCATTCAGGGCGAAGTTTGAGGGAGCAGAATGTAGCTTTGTGAGTCCTTCGTTCAAACTAGCCCCCTCACGCACACACACACAGAAATAAAATAATAAAAAAATTCTGCGTAGGGTACCTACCCGCAGCCCGTAGGAGAACCAGAACCGAAGAATGCCTAAAGCGGATGCAAAATATAACAAAGGCAGTTGAAATATTTCCCAATTTCCCCCACGTGGTCTTTGTGACAAGCAATGTTTCGAGTTGAGAAGTGGTCGCGGCGATCTCTTCCGCTAATGGATACTACACATGATCTGTTTCACATCCTGGAGCTGCTGCTCTTTTGTATTAGCCCCGTGCGCGACCGAAAGCGTCGCTGTGGTCGGCCTTCCACGATTGGCCGAACGCTGACTATGACGTAGGAAAGGGGATTTATCATCGACGTAAATAAGAGGAATGAAAGAACTTTAATTTTGACGGTGTTGGCAATGTTGCTTTAAGGGCTCAATGATTTCAAGCTTCCACCATGCTATTTACAAACACCATCGAACTTGTTGTTTGCAAGGTAATGACGTCACAAGGGGGAACCATGGGAGGGCGCCACCAAAACATCTCGCCGCTAATAACGTGCGAGCTCATCCACATGTGAATAATAAAATGAGCGACGCAAACTTTGAGCGACAACCCTTGCTCAAGCTTAACAAGATCTAGAACCCCCTC